GCCAACTCATGATCCTAATTCCCCTGGGACACTGTTGGGGTTTGCCAAAATTTAGCTTCAGATCCCTCTGCAGTGATTTGGATATTAACCCCATTTTCAGATTTTGGGTCTGTGCTGAAGGATGTGGAATCCCAGAGGAGCTGTCTGGCTTGTCTCAAGTTGCAGCCTTTAATTTCTCCAGGTGTTGGCTGTCTTGTGGGAGCGAGGAGGAGAGGTGGAATGCCAGCAGCACACCCTTGTTGGCACCTTACAAATGGCAAGATGTCAAGGAAGGGGAAGCTGTGCTGTGCAATGCATGTCTGCAGTCGGCAAAGGCGAGGCAAGGACTGGGAACCTGCAATGTTTTTGGTAAGGATTCTCCTTTAGAGGATGGCAGTAATGTTTCTGGAAAACAAACAAATGTGAGACTGTCACAATCTGTTCACAGCAAGACAAAAACAAAAAAAGCAAGAAATAAATTTTCTCATACCCACAGGGCCTGAGCAAGGCTGAAGGCAGAAATGCCAAATAAAGGCTAATATGCTGATGAAAACAACAGCTGCATTTTGATGTGCCTTCCACAAAGGGCTGTCTCTGGGACCCAAAAGCTGCTTATGAAGAAGGAGATCAGGGATACCAAGGAGAGAGGAAGAAAAAGTGCTCCTTGACTTACCTTTCCAAACAGTTGCTAGCAAGGTTTGGTAAAGCAAAACAGCACTGCTGTGACCAGATGGGAGTCCCTGTCACTTGCAAGGACAATGTCATGATGGCTGTGTTTAAAAAATGCTTTGATGTTAGTCCTGGTGATAGGATGGGCTTATTCTCAAGGAGAGTTTCACTGCTGCCTGCTGAGGGGCCAAACTTTTGTAGAGGTTTTGTAGAGATTTAGTATTCAAAGTGCTGTAATATTCTGTTCCTCATTCAGATGAAAAACAAAGTCCAAAATTTCCTGGGGAATCACATTCTTAAAAATAACGTCAGACCAAATGCAGAGAGCTATTGCAATAACACTTGAAATCTTTTTTACATTTCAACGTAAAACCTTCTGGATAATGCAGAGATGAGCCTGAAGTGATGGGGTTTTCATAAGCAAAAATTGCAACTACTGCAAAATCAGAATGGAGCCCAGTGGCATTATTGAAATGTTTGTGTCTTTCTCGTGGTGAAAATTCATTGTTAGCGTCTTTCATGTTTGACAGAATTGCATTTTTCTGAAGGAAAAATATTCTGCCGGGAAATTCTAGTGCTAATATGGGTGTCAGTAGCAGGCTGCCTATTTTTTTATTTTTATTTTTATTCTCAAAGAATTCCCACTGTGGTTCTGAAGTCGGTGGATATTTCTTCTGAAAACAGGGCTCTGGAGAGAGATATTTTTCAAACCAAGTCCCCCCTCCCCCAAGTGGCAGTAGGATCTAGCTCTGTGGATTCATTATGTACTGTTAAGCAGCTGCCACATTTCACTCCAGCAACAGTTGTACTTCATTTATGAGCAAAATGATTCATATGTGAATATGGCAAAAGTGCTGCAGCTCGTGGTGAATTTGCACTGAGGAGCAGCTCGTGGGTGAGGATTGGGTAAAAACAGATGCTGAAGCAGGACTTTGTTACTTGCCTGATAGTTTTTGCAGTCATAAAAGTTTATGTTTTAGAAGGGCAGGTCCTGCCAGAAATAGGAGTGCATAAACACAGAGCAAAGGAGCTTGTTTATGACTAATATTAATCATAGCTTCCCTGCATTTGTGTAAGAGAAGCAAATAAATGGTAACACTTGACCTATATACAAAATTATGAATGAGGAAATCAAATGGATTGATAGTATTTTTACATTAGTCCCATAATGCAAAAACAGTGGGATGCCCAATCACTGCAACAAATGTGACAATGATTGAAGGATGATTCCTCTTTTACACAAAACCTATTTGTGTTCACTACCCTGGAAAATTTCCCAGCCTGTTTCTTTTATTTACCGTGGTGTAAATTAGGAGCCTTTCTGCTAAAAAGAGTGTGATCTTCACAGGGGTAAGAGCAGCAGAAGTAAGAAATTAAGGCATATGTCTGAAGCGTTGCAAAAAATAACAGTCTTCATACTTCAGTGCAGAAGCTCTGTGGGTGGAGTGAGGAGAGTTCCCTTCCTTAAGGCCAAGGCTTCCACTAGTACTCGGGGCAAAGTTGTGCAGTTCCTCCCCAGACAGCCTTGAAAGATGATGCCAAACTCTCCGCTTCAGACATGCTGCTGGCTACTGTGCTGCTTCCAGCTCATCTTTACAGTGGCTGGTGTGGGGCTATAGTTTGGATTTGTGCTGAAACCAGTGCTGATAGCAGAGGGATGTTTTTGTTATTGTTCAGCAGTGCTTGCACACAGTCGAGGCCTTTTCTGCTCCTCACCCCAGCCAGCAGTGAGGGGCTGGGGGTGCTCGAGGAGCTGGAAGGGGACAGAGATCTGGAGTTACTGATTTCCCCAGTAACTGCTATGTGTGGTGGAGCCTCTCTTTCCAGGAGGTGGCTGAACACCTGCCTGCCCTTGGGAAGCAGGGAATTAATTCCTTGTTTTGCCTTCCTTGTGCACATGGTTTTTCCTCTACCTTTTGAGGTGTCTTGTGCTCAACCCATGAGTTTTTTCACTTTTACTCTTCCAGTTCTCTTCCTGATCTCGTGGTGGGGGGGTGAGTGAGCTGACAGCTGCAGACCATGATGTCCATCCAGGAGAACAGTTTACCTTCAGGAAAGCCAGGCAAAGAGGACATACATGTGTTTAGTTTAAAATCTGTTTTAAAAGAGACCCTGTGTGGTGCAAATTTTTGTGTGTTTTTATCCCAGAGTAGAGAGGAATAAAGATTCAATAAATTCCAAAAATCTGTGATGCCAAAAATCTGTGGTGCCAGCTGAGACCCCACAAGCCATGTTGGCTTCACAGAAAACCTGAGTTCAACAGCACTTTTTGGTATTTTCCAACTGGTGCCAGTACCCAGTGAAAGAGGAAGTCTGAAGTAATGGTGCCCTCCTTTATTTGGGCTTTACCAGCCCTGAGGTGGTGACTCCCAGCACAGAAGCAATTTTGATTTTTCAGTGATCCTTTAGCATCTTTTGTTCAGGAGTAGATTAAACTGCACACCTACCCTTAGATGGATTCATATCCCTACTCTGCAAAAGCAAACTTTAAGTCAGGGGAATTGTTGGCAATTGTTGCCACGAGAGTGGTACCTCACAGGGTACCACTGGAAGAAAATACCCCTGCTCTCTCCCCATGCACAGCCCTGTGCTTTTTACTCAAATCCTTCTCTTTTTTTAATTTTTTTTTTTTTTCTCGCAGGTTTCCACAGACACTTAGGATAGGAAATAATCCCAAGGCTCATTACTACATATAAATCCCTCAGCCTTCTGGGTTTCCTTCTCTGGAGCCACTGCGAAAATGGACACATCAATACAGCCTTCTGCAGAAAAGCTGACAATCTCAAAATGGGCTCATGCTGCAAAAACTGAAATCTCCTGCCAGGTTGGTGATGGGGCTTTCTAATCAACTTTGCAATGAATATTTCTTAAATCATGTTAATCCACCGTTTAAGCAGAGATATCGGTTCCAGACAATGAATCTCCATACCTGGAGGGGGATATACCTGCAGTTTCCCCAGAGAGGAGGCGATTAACAGCCGTGTGCTGTCAGATGAGCCAGCAGCTATGGCATTTATCACCTCACAGCTCCTTTGCTGCAATGAAGGAAATCTTTGCTCCCTGCTTCTGGTGCAATCAGCTTTTATTTATGTAGTGGTTAGGGAAAACAGCTCTTAAAGGAAAACTGCACCTGTTTTGCCCTCTGAGGCAGCGTTTGCTCCAATTTACATGGATGTGTTTCCTATTAGAGCTTGCTAAATGCTGGGATCTCGTGAGGAAATGAAAGCCCTTAAATACGAGCAGGCAGAGTGCAGTACCCAGCTTTCAGACCCACAGAACTATAGTAAACACTGATGAAGATGAGCTGTCTTTTTCATGAGCACTTTTATGTTCTCATCTCCCATAGCTCCTAGGAGCCAGCTGCTATGTGAACTGTTAACATCCCAGCTCAAAGAGACTGCAGACCAAACAGAAAGTCTTGTTTGGGGAAATTCTTGAGCCCAAATGATTGGAGGATTACTTTGGATAAGTAAAGAACTCTGGATTGGTAAATTTTGCTGTTAATCCCCAAGGTAAACTTCATGAACATTCACTGCAGAGTAACTTCACTTTTCATGAACAAGCTGTGGTAACTAGAAAAAGAGAGGGTAATTTCTTGAGTCTTTGAGTTCCTCTCCAGCTCAAAGCAGACTGACTTCTGAGTTAGGTCATGCTGCTTATGTCCTTGTCCACGTGAGTATCTCCAAGGGTGGAGACACTCCAGGCTCCCTGGGCACCTGTGCCTGGCCTGAGCCACTCTGCAGATCCTTTTTGTCTCCAGCCACGTGTCATTTTCCTTGCTGCTCCTTGTGCCTCTTGCCTCTGTCCATCTGCTGTGCACCTTCAAGAACAGCCTGCCTCCACCTGCTCCAGAACTTTTTGGATAGTGGGAGGGTGCAATTAGGTGTCCTTCCTGGCTGAGCAGACAAACTCTCTTGCTCTCTTCTCTCACACCCTGTGCTCCAGCCCTCTGACCATCCTGGTGGGTTTCTGCTGGACTTGCTGCACTTTCAGTGCCCCTCTTACACTGGGCAGCCCCAGATTTGGTATAGCTCTGCAGATATCATCCCAAAAGTAATGTGCAAAGGGGAAGGGTCCCCTGCCTTGACCCACTGTGCTGCAACTCGTACGGCCCAGGGTGCTGCTGGTTTGCTTTATTGCAAGGTTGCATCGTTGTCTCTTCAAACACATGTTTCCAGGCTGTAGGAATACACTTAGGATTGCTGCCAGGGAATGTGTCCCTGAGAACATGCTGCCCACATTCCCTTGAATTTTGGGCCTCTTTAGGCTATCTCAGTTTTGTCTCCCAAAAATAAACATTTCCATATTTTTGCTAGATACTGTTTAATTATTTGTCTTTGGGCTCTCGGATAATGGAGGTCAGTCCCCTCCTAAATGAAAGGTTAAGTTCTACTTCCTCAGGCAGTCCTGGAGGAAATGAGCTGCCCAAGTGAACTGATGTGGAATTTAAGTAAGAGCCCAGCATAAATGCTAACAGGCATTGGCCTAAAAATATCTGCTGCTTTTACTGCTGCAGAAAGAATGACATGCACCTCTGATAACTTGTCTTGTGGTGAGCTCTGCCAGGCTGTGCCTGGATCCACAATGATTACTGCATTTCCTGGTGGTTTGGGGAGGAGGAAAACAGATGAGAGGTGCAATAAACCTGTTTTCCCCTAAGAATAACTGCAGCTAGCTGGCCACAGGACGCTGTCCACAAACGTAGGTGGATAGATGGTACATGGCTAATAGAAATGTGTGTATATCTATATCTATACATGTGTATCCTCATGGTGTGATATCTGTATGAAACTATTACAGCCAAGCCAGATTGGTTGTTGAACTTCAATTTGGTTACGTTTACTCAAGGCGTGGCAAGAGCCTCCCTATAAAGGAGAGCAGGGACAGTGCCAGCCCCTGGGTCTCTGTTGGTGTTGGCTGGAGTTACGCTGGAGGCACTGCAGGTAAAAAACACTCCTTTGCTGTTTTATTTAGCACAAGATGAAGCAGGTGAAATAGGAGTTAATAGGGCTGGAAAAGCACCACAGACACATTGAGAGGGATTTGCCTTGGAGAGATGGAATAAATTAAGAGTCCCTATCCTTAATGTTACCTGGAGGGAAAGAAAATCCTAGAAAGAGCCTCCTTTGTAAAATGGTAAGTTGTCAGAAGTAATTGGATCAAGTGGGAGCAGAGATTCTAAGATGAGGAGGACGCTATAGTTACTGTAGGCTGCTGTTAAATGAGGTAGAAAAAAGGTATCTGGAACTGTCCTATGCTGTGTATGCAAAACGAGAAGAAAATTGACTTAATAAATAGCCAGAAGGGAGTACTTCACAGGCTGTTTGGAGCAGAAGGTCGTGCAAGATGCCACTGGAAAAGTAATCTCCTGGAGGGTTGCCAGAGTGCCTGGCTTTGGTTTTGATTTTCTGTGGTACTCAAGGCTTTTGCACATGGTGTGTACAAGGAGCTGCTGTCCATCTGGGGTTTGGGATGCCCACATTCTGGTCCCTGAACTGCCTCCTCAGCTTGCTGTCTCTGCAGGAGGCTGCTGATTCTCATTTGTTTTGTCCTCTGAATGCTAGGAGAGATAATACACTCACACTTTCCTTCATTATAAGATAATCCTGAAACTGACTCCCTGAAGTTTTTAAAATGCTTCAAGTATGTGAATGACAGGATCTTAGAGGAAAGAGTGCTGGCGTTACTGTAGCACATATTGAATATTATGGGGAGATGAAATAAATGCAGCTTGATAGTTTGGAATGTTTGAGAGGAAACAGGAAGAAGGGCTGCTGGCTTTTCGACTCTTCTGGTACTCTTCGTTGTGTTTGAGAAAATTAGTTGCTCTTTCTAAAGTATAGAAATTCACCTAAGCCAATATATAATAGAAATGTTTTGAGAAAATCAGTGGAGAAGAGAAGGTTCAGCTATGAAGTACACGTGGTTTCTAATTGCCTATTTCTACTTTCTACTCCATGAAAAATACCAAAGCCATTGAAGGAAATGATGTCTGTATTGTGACATAAATCTTTATGTGAAGTGTAATTAGCTGTCAGTAGCATTTGCCACCATTGAGTACCTGATTATAGTCGTGGCTTGACATCTTTCCTGAATGAGAGCTGGAGGGAGACAGGACACACCTTCACTGCTGCCTTTTAAGCTGTTCAGTGCAGAGAATGGTGGCTGCTTGGGGTTCCCTCATGGATTTCTGCAGGAGTCATCAACCTTTTTGCCCTGCTATGCTCAGAGACTCCTCTTTCCTTCAAATCCCTTCCAACTGCATCACTTGATCTCTTTTTATCCTTCTCCACATGGATTTTCCTCTGCTTACCTTCTCTCCCTCCTTCTTTGCTGTTTGTCCCTTCCTCAGGAACAGACAACACGGATGTCCCTCTGCTGAGAAGGAAAAGGAACCAAAAAAGAGCAGCAGGTACAAAGTTGGGTGTGATTACCTTCTCCATTTCAGATAAGTAAGAGTGTTGAAGGAGATAGCAGGATTAAGTAAATGTTTGTTTAGCCCCTCCTGAATGTTTACCCCCTTCTGAATAATAATTTCTTTCCTTAGTTGAGTGGCAGCCTCTTTGCTTTTCTTTAGAGTTTGACAGTATGTCTGAACCGGCTTTTGTGAGCGTTTGAAATCCCCCCCTCTTCTCCTTGCATCTTGTGGCAGGGAGCAGTCCAAGAGAAATATACCTGATATCCATTCCATTGTAACTCTGTCCCTTGAAAGCCTTTCTCGCTCTTGAGGCCAGTAACAGCAGGAAGCTCCCCAACCAAGCAGGTAATACTCAGATTTAACAGCTTTTGTGATCTTTGCTGTTGCTGACGGACCCGTGAGAGCCACGTGGGAGAGCTGTGGCCGGGGTTCAGGATGCTGCTCCAAAAGAAGTGGCCATCTGAGCATGTTGGAGCAGCCAGGGCACTGCTAGCCAGGTCCTGACCCCAGGGACTGCCTGCAGAGGGGCATGGATAGGTGTAGAACTCATGTGTCTGTGCTGATGAAGATATCCCTGCAAGGGAATAGTTTTTAAGTGTGTTATTTTCCTCAGTCTGGTAGCTAATTTAATCCCGATACGTTAAACAACATAATTAAACACACACACACACACACGCTAAAAACTCTTGTTCTCTGTCAGAAGAGAGGGAACGCATGTCAGACCCAGCCTTCAAGCTCTGTTAATTTTAATTTGAGTTTTGGAATTAGTAATCAGTTTTGCTGGAACACTGTTTCAAGAAATAGATCTTAGCATGCACGGAGCCTGGGCACAGTTTCAAATGAGTATTTGTTAAGAAGCCATTCCCTTGTCGTGTTATGGTACATTAAAAGAGATTTATTTCCATTGTATTAAAAAATGCAAACCCAAGGGGAATGCTCTCTCTTCTTGTTGGCCGAGGGTGATTTTGGATTTTTTTTGTGGGGCTTTTAATTAAAACAATGAAATGCAAACCCACTTATTTGTTTAGGCTGTTGTTACCATGCCAGGAGGCTAAGTGACTTGAAGCACCAAGAAAAGTGATGAGACTGCATAGAAAGGGTGTAGGGAGGGAAGTAAGTGGGGGGCTCACACCTGAAGGTGTCACACCTTCATTGTGGCCGAACTGTGTTTTTGACACGTGGGAAGAATTCACAATAAAAACCTGAGGCTTTGCTCTTACTGGAGCCATCTGCTTTATTTATACAGCATCAGGGACATCTCAGATCTACAGATAACTTTGTTTGGTAGAAAAGAGCCATTTCATCTACAAAAAAATTAAGCAACAACAACAAAAAAATCAAACAAGCAAACCAAACCAACTAACCAGAAGAACTATGGCATCCGGTTACTGCAAAGTGAAACTAGGTGACTTCAGGCTAGAAAACAGCGCAGCAAAATTAATTAACTGTGGATGAGGCTTGCCCAGGGCATGTGGTGGATTTTCCAGTGCTAGTTCATGAGAAGGTACATCTTAAGTGGAAGCCAGGAAGTGGGGGCAGGAATCCCTGGATCAAGTGTGGTGGCATCTATAAAGGAAGATGTCAGAAGAGGATCACAGCGATTCTTCCTTTAAAAGTCTGCTGATAGGGGGCTTCTCTTTTCATAAGAAAAGAGGCAAAAGGGGAAATATGTCTCAGGATAGTTAGTATTTCAGTTTTGTGAGGGAAAATGGGAATGAAGAATGTAAACTGCTGTGGACCCTGAGTCATGTTTTTATCCAGCAACATATAATTTTGTGTGACAATAGGAGCTGAAGGAACCAGGAGCCAAGGCAGGCTGCATGACCTTCCTGCTACATCTCTGAACCCTGAAACCACAACAGAACCTTTCAGCTGAAGGGAGATCCCCAGGAAGTGGTACCCAGGTGTCTGTACATCCATGTGGCTATAGGGAGCACACCTCAAAACTTGTGCTCTGGTTGGACAGAACAAATTGCTTTCTTTAAGCTCCAGTGCCACTAGCCCCTCCAAATGTGCAGCTTTCCATCTTTCTTTTGCCCTTCTCCCGCTCCTGTCCTCAAAGCTCTCCCATCCCACAGTCCAGTGTCTCCATGGAAGGTGAACTTACCTCCCCTTGGAACAAGAGCAGATCTTTGACAGCAGGAATCCTCCTGTAGTTTTTGACACCTGTAAAGGGACAAAGCCCTCAACAGGAGATGTTGGCCCCTGCATCCATCCCTAGCTGTGCCAGCAGGTGTATTAACACGTCTGTTCAGTCCAGGGTTTCACTGCATGTATGAAATGTTCATTTTCTTAATTAAAGTTCCCCTTTCTGTTAGACACACTAACAGAGAGGGGTTCGGCCATGCTTTGGACTGGAATGCCATGCAATGACTTCCCAGTTTAAACAGCAACCTGAAATCCTGTGCCCTGGGCACAGCTGTGATACCTGACCAGAAGAGTCCTGTGGGCACACTGCTCACACTCCCACTCCTCTGCAGCTCCTGTTCCCTCCCCTGTGCTCCTTTTTATTGCAGCTGTACCTCAGTGCTCACGCAGCAGCTCACTAACAGCTTTGCTCTGTCCTCAGGGAAGACTCCAAATTGAATTTGTAGCACTGACAGCACTGGTTTAAGATAAACCAGTTGGGATTTGACGACTGCTCTTTCCCCATGCATTTCCAGCTAATAAGGATTTTGTCACTGTGGCTGCCCTCAGTTTTGCAAGCTGCTGCTCCCTGGTCCTGCTGATGGGAGGGGGAGGTGTTATCCCACACACTCCTGAAGCACCACTGTGCATCGGGAGACTGATGGGAGTCCCTGTCTCCCCCTCACAGGAAAGGGGCACGATGCTCGCCCCCAGCTCCGCTCCGATCCCAGAGCAGGGCTGGCAAACCACAGGAGCAACGGGAAGCCTCCAGAACCTGAAGAAATTTAACAGCCAGGACTTCAGAGAGCTGCGAGCCCTGTGCCTGAGCCAAGGGCTGCTCTTTGAGGATGCCACCTTCCCCGCTCACATCAGCTCCATCGGTCCCAGCCTGCTCCCAGAGGAGAAGCTCTGGCAAATACAATGGAAGAGGCCAACGGTGAGTTCCACCAGCTGGGGTGTTTTGTGGCACTGCTGCTGAGTGGGAGCACTGATGGCCAGTGGCTAAAGGCCTCCACCCTGGGGTGGGAGGTCTGTGTTGAGCAGGAAAGCAGACATCACGGGGAACACTGGAAGCACGCTTGCAAGGAGGGATGCTTGCTGTGGGATGTGTGGAGGGAAGATAACCTCTGCAACATTAATGATTTCATTAGGTACATTTTTGTAGGAAGTTTGCTTCCACCTGTGAATCTAACTAGAGCTGCTATTCCCACTTTGATCTGCTTCTAGAGGATTTTGTGCAAACCTGAAAAGTTGTTAAATTCTATTGAAGATCTCTGATTTCTGTGATCCAAGCGACTGACTCAGCAATACCTATTTTAAAGTAATTGGGACAAGGCAGGAGATGAAGTACGTTTGTGTGCTGATTCCCAGTTGCAATTTAATAGGCAGTTATCATCTGGCATATGGAAGTTTAGAATGGGAGGTGGAATCACATGCTCAGCTCTTTTATCCTAGGACCTAATTTAGGAAATCTTCCTGTGGTCCAACAGCTCTGTATAGCACTGCTGCGTACCATTTACTGCTGGTGCAGCTCCTGGATGAGCCACATGCTGCCCTTTTTCTGGGTTTTGCTGAGCACACCACTAGTGCCTGGGGCCTTTGGCTTCCCTGGGCTGGGACAAACCAGCTCATCTCCCTGGAGGCAATGCCTCAGAGCATAGAAACAGTGACTGTGAGACTGTAAAGAGCCAGCACAAAACAACAGGAAAATGTTTATATGGATGGCAGATGCATGAGGGCAGTGAGGGTGTGCTGGACCTCGGCAGAGCAGTGGCCTTGGCACAGCAGCAGTGGAGGATGCAGCCAGCGTGGATGTTGAAACTCAGGGATCCCAGAAGGGAAGCAGAGTAGCCAGGACAGCCTGCAGAGCTGCTAAATGTGGAGGCCCACATGGAAAGGCTGGAAACACAGCACATGGATTGGTAGGTGTGGAGGTGCTGGGTGCAGATATTTGGGTGTTCTCTGTGCAGGTGCCATGAGGTGATCATTCTCTTCTGCAGAAGCTGCTCCTACCACAGGCTGAATGTCTGGGCTTCTCCTTAGGCAGTTTTCCTTCAAAGTCTGTGTCTGGTGAGGGTGCAGCTGGTGCTGTGTTTTTTACACCAGCACACTGCTTATGGGTTCACAGCAGGTGGGAATAATCTCTCTTGAAAGTTGGTTGTATTAGGAAAGTAACTAAAAATGCAAGGGAGAGGAGTTAGTTGCCTCTGTTTCCAGTCTGAGAGAGAAAAAATAGGATAACTAAGCATTAGACTCACAAAAGACAAACACAGATATTAGAAAGGACTCTCCAGGGGCATTTTAAAGTTGAATAAAGTGGAATAAAATGTTATGATACAGTTGTCTTAAGTACTAACACCCCTGTGCTTTTGCAGCACAGAAGTGTAGGACTTCAAAAGCATACAAAGTGACTTAGAAACCCAAATACCACTGATTTTGAGGTGCTGTGCTGTGGGATGAACATCTATCCTACTCTAATATCCTGAGAGTTATTTCATGTGCAAAGGGACTGATGTACCTTGCTAAAAGCAGAATCTGCTGCTGCTAGTGCTTGAAGTTTGTCAGGTGAGGCAGGTATTGGAGAATTCCCTTTTATTTTGATGAATCCATGAATACTAAAGTTGTGAATAAAAGTTTTTGTGCAATTTGTTTCAAAGATTTGCATATGTCCTTTCCATCCCAGCACTTTCCTTCTGAAGAATTTTTTTACAGCAGTCAACAATTTTTCAGAGTGTTTTTTCAGGAAGGAGTAGGATCAAAATCCTTGGCTTTGCCAGAGCTCTCCTTCAAAAAATTAAACCATATGCTCATGGCCCAGGGTTCATGATGTGAACATTGAAAAGCCTTTTGTTCTTTTATAGAGGCTAAAACAGCATCACCAGCTGCTCTTCTATGACAAGGGAAAAAGCTGAGACTGCTGACTCAACTGGGTCATCTGGAACAGAAACTCAAGGTTCCACTGCTGAAGAAGGCCCCATTTTTTTTATTTTTTTTTCCTCAGTTTAGCCAAAATTTTCACCTGTAGATGTCTCCCAACCATGCAGGCTTCACCTTGCCAGACAAGATGCAAGATAAAGGGCAGTGGCATCAGCTGCCTGAGGAGACCAACCAGAAATTCTCAAACATCACCACAGCAGCCATGCTGTGTCGTGATGACATCCAAGTGTGGCCTCACTTTCCTGACAGAATGAAGCAGGGGTAGAAGAAGTTGCTGAATCACAGTGTTTTCTTTTCGTTTATAGAGCTGCAGATGTTTTGAGTGAGGGGTCAGGAAGCAAATAAAGCTCTGTTTGCATTTCATAAGTCCTTAAAGGCCAATGCTATGACCAGTTGCCTCTGGGAGTTGGTCCCCTAAGAGGAAGAGGAGGAGGTAGTGGTGTCCTAAACATGAAGTTTTTCATTTGGACACCTTTCACCCATGCAGAAATATTTGTACAATCTTTGTTTGTAGGCCACTGCAGTGCTAAGTCTAAGGATATGTGATCCCAGGTGTTTAAGCTACCTAAACAACTCAGCCAAGAGATACCTATAATTTCCCCAAGAGAGACTGTTTCCTACCTGAATACATCTCCCAGAGAGTCAGTGCAGTTGTATCCTGCTGACAAATCATGACCAATTTAACCCATATCTGTGTTTTTCTCAGCCTCCACCATTAGCCCCCTCTGACATTGAAATAAATTTGTCTGGAATTGTACCTGTGACTGGCATCTTGGTCCTAAAAATCTCTTAGCCTCCATTTACTGTCATGCAGTATCTGGTTATTTAAGTGGTAGATAGCAATTATAACTGCTGTCTTTGTTCCAGATCCAACTGAGCAGTTGAGCAACATGCTGCTTTTATTTTACCTTGTACGTTGTCAAGAGAGTTGCCAGTTATGCTCAGAGTTTGGAGCCTTCATATCTGGGGGTAATGTATAAAATAGAGAGAAAACAGCTTTATTTCAGACAGTGACAGTCAGCAGTGACAGCCAGAAACACCTTTTTGACTTGGAAACTTGTCTTGTTTAGTATGCATGTGCCTGAAAAGGGAGGGAAGGTGGATCAGGAGCACCAAGACAGCATTTGGAATGTCCCTTTCCCCATCTCTGCAGTAGTTACAGTTTCCCATCAGATGGGGACTGCTTCAGGCTGTTTTTTGTGTCCCCAGGCCTTCAATCCACGGCCACTGGAACATGCAACCTGTAACAGGGATTTTGCTGTGGTACTGCAAGCATTACTGGAGGTCAGGCTGAAGGTACCAAATATAGCATGACCTCACAATTGACTATTCCTTTGGCTCACCAACAGTTTTGAGAAATGGAAAAGAAGTTCTGTTTTAGACTGAATAAAGTATTTTCTACAGCTAGGCTTTTCTAAAGATCAATAAAAGGGAAATTCTCCGTGAAGAATTATGTCAGATTTTAAAAACTGAGATGCTCTTTTTAATATGTTCAGACCAATTCTTTTTCATTGCTTGCTGCTTTTCCTTCACACAAGCTATTGATTGGAACTGAGGAAGCCATGAAATGATTAACTGCTGTGGAATATGCATTTTTATTCAATTAATGTTTAGGATAAAGATTTCTCTCTGTTCTGATCATAGTGCATAATAATGCTGTGCAGATGCAAAAAGAGATTGAAGGAGGATGGTCCAGACGATCTGAATTGTGGTGATGCTAAATGTGGAATGCTTTACTTCTGCTAACATTGGTTATATTTTCAGATATGATATGTGTGAGGGGAGAGAGATTACCACCTGTGCAGCAGTGCCTTGGCCCTGCTCAGTATGGTGCCCGTTGTATATGTGAAGGATAGTCCGTGATCTTCAGTGATCTTCATGCTTTAAAAGAAGGCTAAAAGGGGCACAGGGTGAAGTTGCTGAAGGCTTTTATGAAGGATCTTCAAGGTTGCAGACTACTGCTCCTGCCCTGCTCACCCTTGGTCTCTTGGGGACCCTGTAGCTCCCTTATGGAATGAGGGGATGCTGGCATAAGAAGATCTGTTCTCTGATTAGCATGGACAGTTACATGTGGGGGCAGCTGGAAGAAAAGCTGCAATGTGGCCAGTGGAAGTTTGAGGATCAGCACGGGAGGAATCCCTGAGTGCCTCTAATGTGACTTGTGGGGATGTGGATGGTGACAGGACTGTCTGAAAGAGCTGACACAGGCTCTGTCTGCACCATTGGTCTCTTCAGAGCATCAGGGCACGGACTCCTCGGGTGTTGTCCCAGGTGTCTGGGGTCAGGTGATGAGAAAGGTGGTGTCCAAAAAAATTCCTTGGATGTTCCAAAAGAATTCCTTGGATGGAAGGTGCAGGAAGAAGCAGCGTGAACTCAGGCAAGGAACACACCTAGTTGTCATACCAGAGCCCTGTGCTACTGCACTCAGCGCCTAAAAATCATAGGAGAAAATTAAACACATTGAGCCAGTGTCTGTTAGCTGGGAAGAGTGTTCCATCATTTGAATCACTCACTTTGTAAAAGGGCTTGCTCATGTTTTTAATTCCCTTCCTCTGTCCCTTCCCAAGTAAAACATAACCACCTTTCAGGAGCAGAATATCTATTGTTATCCTCCATAGATTTTGGTGATTATTTTTTCCTTTGCCTGCTATTTATTTCCCCAAAATTTACAAGAATTAGCATCAGCATTAAGGAATTTTGAATCCAGCAACCAACTTTAAAAAATGGACCCTTTAAAAAATTATTTTGAAGTTAGCATCTTTCTAGACAGATAAGCTGAGCTGGATTTCCTACTGCCTCAGCCTTGGCCTGTCTGTAGCTGGAGGGGACAAAAACCCAGACTTCATTCAGGCAAGAATTTAGACAGCAATTTGAAGTTAACCCAAAATCTTGTCTCTAAAAGAAGATGAGAAAAAGGAAGAAAAACCTACAAAAAGCAAACAGGAGAGGAAAAAGAAATGCAGGTTGTCACACGAGCTGCTTTAATGAGGCAAGTTGCGG